TTTTCAGTGTTACCATTTTCAATGTCCATGGAAGTTTGGGAAGTTGATCTTCTAATCAAATTTGCTTTACCAGTGCTCCAAATCATTTTTGATTCAGCAGCACCAAGCAAATAGATAAGATTATTACGGTCATGTCCTAGTCTGTTACATAGTAGTCCCAAAGGAAACTCACTATGTGACTTAGAAAGTGATTGAACAACCAACTTTCTCAAGACTTTGACACCCAACTCTCCCGGCTTGTCAATATATGACTTCATCTCCAAGATGTGAGCACACATAGACCTTGCTTTCCAATAGGGCTTGAGTGACCTTGAACTTGTGGGTTATGGAGAATAATTGGCGGAAGTGGAGGGAGTGAAGAATGATTTTCGGGACATCATCTTCATTAGGAAAGCTTGTTCCAAGAGTTTTGGGAAGATCATAAATGTCTGAACCAGACATCTTTTGGGAGATATTCAAGATAGTTGATTTAAAGTCCTTAATATAACATCCAATATGAAATATTAAGGCTAGGACCCAACACAATACTTTATAACTTGGAAGAGGGATACCGTAATCCAAGCTATAAAATATGTGAAGGTAGGCGAATGACGATTCACCAATTTCCACCATGAAAAACGAAATAATTTATTAGGCTTTAATTGGATTTGAAACTCCTAGATCTTTTGAGATTCATTGAACTTTTTAATGGCATGTTTCAATCTCGATTGTGCCCTCTCAAATTTTGTGACTGGGATGCCGAGGATCACAAAACAAGGTGTGAATAACCATGCAAATATACTTGGTACCCATAATATTTACCACTCAATCGATGTGTCGGTTAACTACACGCGCTCCACCGACACTATGATAAACATTAAGTTACCCTTTGCCTACCTTGTTAAATCCAGGTTAGTGTGCCGGTTAACCACACGCGCTCCACTAACGACTTAAGCAAAGTGCAAAGTGTAATTTCATAGGTTAGCACCAAATTCACATTTTCCTAAGTAACTAAGATTGGGAATTTATAAAAGGTTTAGTTACTTAGTATTTATCATTAATACTTTTAATGAAGGGAGAATTATAGTCCTTGTCCTACCCGTTCGGCTAACGACCCTCCACCAGTCAAGGAAGCGGTGGGTGAGAGTGGACACCCATTAAACTGTCATTTTATAGGCAGTAACCTTATACCCCCCTTATAGACTCGCTTCGTGAATGAGGCCTACTAACGGTAAGACTGGACTTTGTTCTTATACATATATATATATATATATATATATATATATATATATATATATATATATATATATATATATATATATATATATATATATTAACTTATAATACTATAAAGTATAAGGGTTGAATTTTAACTTTTAAAATTCTAAGGGCTTAACTTGGAATTAAATTATTCATGAGGGGAAACTTTACAAATTCCAAAACTTGAGGGCAAGTTTTGAACTATTCGAAAACTTTTCAATTCCATAACTTATGTGTTTAAAGTAGTTTTAATGAAAAACTCTTCAAGTTCCATAACTTGAGGACAAGTTATGGAAGACTTTAAAACATTTAAAAATGAGACTCTTCATTTTCATAACTTATGGAAATCTTATGAGTTTTAATAATCATAAATGTGACTTTTTATATAACTTGAGGACAAGTTACAAAAACACATATTATGAACAACTTTTAGATTAATTTGGATTGAAAACATATTATCACATAACTTTTCTATTAATCTAAATCAACTCATAAGAACAAGATAATTAAAATCAAACACTTTTCATGTAATTAGCCTAACCATTAAACTAATACAAAACATGAATCTATTGACAATTATCTATGAAATTGGATTAATATGAACATTACCACATCAAAAACAGGTTTACAAGTTTAAAAACAGCTTAGGGTAATGTTTCTAGACCAATTCCAGCCAAAAACATCGAAAAACTCCCAACTTGAACACAAACTCGTCGAGTTCTCCAAGGAACTCGTCGAGTTCTCCAAGGAACTCATCGATTTCATGCCTTAACTCATGAACTCGGCGAGTTTTTGGCCATAACTCGTCGAGTTTTCAGGTCTTGGCAGTTTTTGGTTTTGAAAAACAAGTTTGCATCAAGTATAAATGAAAACAAGCCTAGGCTCTAATACCACTGAAGGGTTTTGAGCATTCTAACCCTCCTATGGTGTACATGCAACCCTAAATACCTTGGATCTATGTTTTCTCTATTATATACAAACTTGAACTTTCCAAGGTATTACCCTAACTAGCATACAATCATTGATACTTGGGTAATATAAACAAGTTAGAAGACATACTTTTTTTATGTAGCTTGATTCCATGGAGCTTAAGATCCTAGTGCCTCAAGTGTGACACCTCAAATGGTTCACACAACATCACCAACATCACCAACATCTAGGAATAACTTCAGAGAAAAGGTTCCTATGCTCAAATCGGCTAGCCCTCATGTGTACACACACTAGTCCCAATTTCTTGAGCCATGGGGTCCTTATATATTGTGGCTATTAGGGTTACACCATGTAACTCATGTCTTTCCATATTCTTCATGCTCCATGGGTTAAAACCTCCATGGAGTATCCATGGGTTACTCCATGGGTTTAGCCCAAGATGAAGAACTATGGATCATAAGCCTACATATATAAGAATGAATGATTTACACAATCAATCCCCATATATTTAATTAGTCTCCTTTTGATCACAAAATTACTTCCAAATTAATTCTTGATTAATACTAATTAAATAATATGATTTCATATTAATATATTAGAACTTATAATATATTAAGAAATCATAAATATCCTTTTCTCACAAAAGTCTATCCAAATTGTTCCGATGCCATGCAACCCAAATGGACCATGCCAATCGGGTCAAGTACATACCAATTATAGTTATGGACTTAGACACTAATCCAACATATACATCTTTGTCGTTCTGGGATTATTAAAGAACCTCAACTTGTGCGCCTCCTCCATCAATATCTGACATGCGCTGCCTTAATATGGAATCCACACCCTCCGATGAAGGGTCAATAACCCCCAGCTATCATAATCAAGGAAGCCACCTGACCCATTATGCACTCACTTTTTCGGTGCTCCTCCTTCATGGACTCAACCTGGTCCTCTCGAATCTGCTCCAAGAGTGGGGTAATCATTGTTTACAGTTTTGGTTTCAGGTACCTTCAGTTTTCAGATAAGGAGCTCGGGACAATCGCATCGCATTCACCCATATTATTCCGCATTATGTGATCTTTGGGATTAGACTCTGATATTTGTTTTAAATAAAATGTTTTCAATGTCTTGAACAAAGTTATTAAGTGTTTTTCATATATTAAAAATGAAATTTTTAGTCTTGAATTTTGGGATGTTACAAATACCACATACCATACATACAATGGGCCTTGCCCTACAATCATCGGGCCCTGCCCGAAACAGATCTGTCAGTAACATGCGATGGGCCCCGCCCAACACACTTATCAAGCCCCACCTGGCATCGGGCCCCGCCCGATATACATACAAGCACATACAATACATGAAAGATTCAAAAAGACAGCTAGCATACTATAACATAATCCAATGGGCCGTCATTGGTGCCTTCGACCCGCCAAACACTACGAGGAGACTCACCTCAGTCTGCTGTCAGTCAAACAGATGATTGGGCTGCTGAACCGGAGAATCCCTGCTCTAACCAATCAAATAAAACCCCAATTAATAATTGGGCCATAAACCATAACTGGGAATCTAGTTCATTTATCCAACACCCAGGGTAAAAGACCATTTTATCCTTCCCTTACTTAGCCCAATAACCGAGGCCCAAACTCAATGGCACTAAAAGCCTAATAGTGGATCAATTCCTAAAGGACACCTAAAGCCTAATATGGGCCCGAATCCAAGAAGGCCCAAAGCCTAACAATGGCCCAAAGTCAGGAAGGCTAGTGTCCCAACAAAGCCCAAAACCCTAATAGTCCAAATATGGCCCAAACCACAAAAGCCCGCGACCACGCCTAGTACGCTACGTGTACCAGAAGTACGCACAACGTACTGGGTGGCTTGCATGATCGGGGACTCGCACGCGTACGCTTGTGTACGCCCAATGTACGCATCCATTAAGCAATTTTTCCATTAAGCACTTAATGCTTACAACCAGACGCCTAAACTTCATATCCAATCCTTAGGAAACGTCTTGAACCATAATGTTACTAACTTGGAGCCTTTGCATGGCTCAAATGAACTTAAATCCTAGACTTAACATCCTACTTTCACCAAATGGACATAAACAAATGCATGGTTGATCCTCAGCCATCAAGATGCTAACTTTATGGGCTTTGGACCTCAGAAACATCAAGAGAAACAACTCCTAACTTCTGGAGTGGAAGAATCCCACTAGATCTCATTCATGGGACTAAAAAGTGGACAAAACTCCAAACTAACTAGATCTAAGCATACAATGAGCAAGTTCCAAGCTTTATACCTCAATGAAGCTGAAAATAATGAGTGGAATCTGGATCTACAAGCTCTCCCTTGATCAAATCTCCTTCTTTAGGTTTCTTCTTCCTCAAGGTTCACCAACACACACTAAAACACATACAAAGAGGTCAAATCTTCTCTAGATGGGTTAGGGTTTCGAAATGAGGCTCTAAGTGTAATGGAGGTTGGGAAATAAGAGGATCATGGGTCATAATATTGCTTAAATAGGGTCCAAACCCTAAAAATTAGGGTTTGTCCTTGGACGCCGTACGCCCAGCGTACTCACTCCCCTCCCCCCCCCCCCCCCTAAAATTTTCACTTTTTACACCCCTTGGGACCAAATTTGCAAATTAATTTAATATCAAGGGTCAAAATGTGAAATACCTTGGAACCAGGTGTTACAGTTTGATTGCTATATGTTGGCTTCTGATTCTATGGATATGCATACTCAAAGCCTCTGCAATCGTTGGGATTTGTAGATTCAAAATCAGTGAAATTGAGTAAGATAGAAGCTCTGGTTCGTTATTGATAGGGAGATGCGAAGGTAAACTTGATTTCAGAGGTTGTGATGGTCACGGACATGAGAAAGTGGTGGTAATCGAGCGTATATTAGCGGTGGTTTACCGGAGATGAAGTACCGAAGATGGAAGTACTGGACATCAGTTGTTTTGATGGGTTGAGATAATTAGTAGGCGTATTGTCATTTTTTAATAATAAAAATATTTAAAAGATAATAAATAAATTAAAAATATATATTAATAAGGGCAAAATAATCTTTATACTTCAGGCAGAGACCAACCACGTAATAAAAACATAAGTTGGGGACGGTCTGAGTTTAAAAAAAAAAGTTAGGGACTGAATGTGTAAATTGCCCCAAACCACAAGGACCATTCATGTAATTTACTCAACATAGACTAACCATGCATTTTAACACATGCACAATGAACTAATGATGTAATTTATCCTAATACTTAGTGGATCAATCTATTTACAAGTGCAAATATAAATCAAGGCAACAATGATAAAAATGATGCAATTATATCATTACAATAATCAATATTTTTTGAAAAAATAATAAACCATACCTATGATAGCCTCATGTGGTTATCACATGAGAGGAAGACATGAACACCGGCGGTCAAAGATGCATGGTAATATTGTGAACCAAATATTTCACTGTCAAAATTTCATTCTTCAACTGTTAGATTCAAAAAGAGAATCAATAAATAGTTTGGTTTCATCCTTTGATTCACCATAAAAATTTCATTCTTCAACAGTTAGACTAACTTACAGAGAAAATCAATAAATAGTTTTGTTTCATCTTTTGATTCACCACAAACAAGATATACGTGTATAACTTGATAATGTTTTATTTAAAGATAATATTTATATTTTTTTTTAAACGGAAAATATACTAAACTACTTCTAAATTATTTTACTTATGTTCATTGCGGGACTTGAACCCTCGACCTCAAGGAAGGAGGGCAACACCAGATAATGCTGGCTAGAAACCTAACTTATATTTCTTGTTTTGTCTTTAAATATAAGGGGCCTTTATACCAAAACAAGAAATTGAAGGTGCGTAATTAAGAAAGATATTAAAGTTCAACACCCTGATACTAGAAGGCAAAATAGTATGAACACAAAATCTCGAAACCCTCAAAACAAAAAAGGAGCAATACGCTTCAAAAATGAAAAGTCGAGCTTTGTGCCAGCAAAAGCTCACACGTGTCAGTGATCTATAGGATATTATCGTCAAAACCAACAAAAGATTTAGGATAATCATAATTTAAACAGCTAGCAGTCTGATTGGTCCATGTGGCATCACGCGATTCATTTTCTAAATCAAGTAAAAAAGTACTAGCGGTTTTATTATACAAGAGGGCGGTTTTATAGAGAGAGAAAATGTGTTTATTAATGAAAAGCGGTTTTGTAGAGAAAAGGTTTCATAGTACCTACCATATATAGGGAGAGAAGAGAGGCAACTTTCCTTATGTAGAAGACGACTGTTATCTCAATCGGGAAACCAGAGATACATACACATATAGATATATAGAGAGAGAAAGAGTGACACATAAAGTAGAGAGAGATCAAAGGAAGACGACGACTGGTTGATTGCTTTGGTCAAGCGTCCTTTTGTCTGCATCAGAAATTCACCCTCAAAGTAAGCAAATGATTTCAACTTCGATTATCACAACCCACACACTCGATCTCTAGATTATTCACAATTCTCTCTCAGTTCTGCGATTTGTTTTTGAATTCAAGAATTCTTGAAGCACTGTCGACCATGATGTACTTCTCTCTCTCTCTCTCTCTCTCTCTCTCTCTCTCTCTCATACGGAGTCACTGCATATATCCATATATATCAATTTGCGGTATATACATTTAGCTGTATACAAAAGCACGAATTGATTGTAGATTGATTCATTTCTGTGAGTTGTTTCAGTAGAATTGAATGAATGAATTTGAATGATGAAGCATGAGATTGTTTGATTAGGGATCGATTGGTAGGTATGGGGAGGGGTAAGATCGTGATTAGGAGGATTGACAATTCGACGAGCAGGCAAGTGACGTTCTCGAAAAGGAGGAGCGGATTGCTAAAGAAGGCGAAAGAACTTGCGATCTTGTGTGATGCTGAAGTCGGCGTTATGATCTTCTCTAGCACAGGCAAACTTCATGAATTCTCCAACACTAGGTCAGTTTATTTAATCAGCACTTTCACTATACAGCTAGATCTATTAATAGTACTACTCTTATATATCTCGTCATCTTTGTTTTTCATTTTTTTATTACGTCATATATATATATATATATTTATTCACTTCTTTCTGTGTAAAAATTAACTAGCGACCTAATTAATAACCACGATCATCAGTGTGTGATCTTGCTAGAGTTGCATTTGGTTAATATCTTTTTGCTTCTGAACGTTGGGCATATTATCTAATTCATGCTCTAATTAAAGAAGTGAAACAATTACTTGATCCTCACACATGCATGTTTATGGAAGTTGTTAGACACTTATACTACATGATCTGAAACATTGTTTGTTATTTAAGTCAAACAAATTTTGTGAACCAAATGAATCACAATTACTTTAAGTGTCTAATTAGAGAAAAATAAAATTATATGATAAGCTGAGAGTGTGAGTGTTATTATAACAACCGGCTACATACATATGTATATGTATGCTTCATTTGCTTAACTGTAGAGTGTCTTTCTAATGTTAATGAAACTTTGATCCTCACAGATGTCAATAAAAGTTCATTACTTAAATTGTTACACTTTTGTACCATTCATGTTAAAGTAATCTTTCTTAAACTAAATGAATCACGATTACTTTTAAATTAGAGGACTATTGATCGGGGTAATTAATAAGTAATTAAGTTTACTAGAACTTTCTTACTAAAAATAAAAATGTTACATGATCAATTGATCATTAATAAAAAGTGTTACGATATCTAATTATGATACAAAGAGCTAGAGTAACACATTTCTGTTATTAATGTGGTATAATGCGTTTATATCTATTAGTAGTACACATACATGTATATATGCATGTATGTATCATGTATGTCTAGCCTTACCGAGTTGATAGTTTAGTTGGCTGACCATAATGCAGATTGGGACCTTTTCCCCCTATATACTTGAAAGCCTGCGCTTTTGATGCCTCCAATATTTTTGTTGGTCCTAGGTAGAATAATATTTGATTCCATTAATTTGACCCTCTGGATCAGCAACTTTCGTCAATTATATCATCATAGATACACAAATATGGATAATGATCGATCATTAGGTTGCTATATAAATCTCTAATTAAAGTTCACAGCTGGACTATCTTGTTAATTAGCTTTTTATGTTATGAGATACAATCTATAATTAAATTGGTTTTATCAAGTTGCATGGTAGGGGGCGCCCTAATTAGTTAATTAGTTTCAACTTTGCATGTAAATTAATAAATCCATAACATGTAATTAATTGAACAAAATCAACACTTGCAGGTCCTTTTAAAGGTCTTGCAATGTACAACGTGAATATGTTACACAATATAAAAACAAGGCCTCGATATGCTAGATATCTATCTATATAGGGGCTTTAAACATATTAACAAATTAATCTATTCCACCAAAAAATCGATCTTCTGATTGAAGAGCTTCAGTCAGATGGTCTCACAGGCATCTCTAATTCCAGCAGCAATGCAAGATCGAATGAAAAAGAATGAGTAATTAAAAGTTCAATAGTTATAAGCAGATGAACAATTACAATAAATATATAGTTGATGGTTTCCTTCTTAAACAATGAATTACCACGTCCCACAAAGTAAACTAGGATAGCTATATTTGTGAACTATTACAACTGTCTTCTATAACAAAATTTTACTTGTGTTTGACTCTTATCATATTTTTGCTAACATTCTTTTGATGATATCCAGCTCCAACAGACTTATATACACAATCATCGTTGTCCATTTCATAGTAACTTTAACTTGATATTCTCAGTCCCAACCACTATACACGTGTGGTTGATTCCTTCTAGATAAATCACGTGTTCCATATCTTCAAAATAGTTTCAGTCTATATTTATATATCCCGCTGCACATAATTACGAAATATTCTACAATAAAATATTCATAAACTTGATCTCATGGACCAAATAATTTCAAACACTAAAACTAAATACCAAAAGCTATCCTCGAATAATTATGTGTGCAGGAGTTTATTTCTTTAAGACATATACCTTTTTCTCCGCCATAGGACATCCTTCAAGGTGTGAGACCACGCTATAAAGTTTGTGCAGTTAAAGCCGAAGGTATACTGGCCACGAACATGGTTCGTGGCCAGGTGGCAACCTTGCCATGGTCGTGCACACCATCCCCGGTGTCACGATGGTGGTGTCTCGTGGTAAATACCACGGAAGACCACAACCAATCATTTTCTTCTTCTTCTTCTTCTTTTTCTTCTTCTTCTTCTTCTTCTTCTTCTCTCTCTCTCTCTCTCTCTCTCTCTCTCTCTCTCTCTCTCATTGTTGGTGGGAAAGGAGATGGTGGTGAGGTGGAGAAAAACCACACTGCATGGCATGTCTCTATAGCTCATGGCCTAATGATCTCCTATTATTTTTTTAGAACAACATAAATTCTATTAGTGAAAAGGAAAACACCTAGCAAGACGTTAGATGAAAAAAAAGAGCCAAAATGGCTACAACAAAACCGAGCATTCAAGCAAGGGATTACAACACCAAACGGTCCAACTCAGACCATACATATTTGATATATGTTTAAACCAAATAAATACATGCAATTAGATTTCATCCATCAACTTATAGGGGTTGAGATCGTACGATTCCAAAATATAAACCACTTTCACACCTTCCATATAAGTCACAACATAATTTGTATGTCATGATCACTACTAGCCAAACCATGATTAACATAGAAGAACAACAAAATTTCATTTTCTAAAACCAATTGGCGATAGAAAGGATTGGACATTGGCTTATATGCTAGAATCTGGTTTCTCTTTTTACTAATATGGAATTGGGTTTGCACCCCAACACTATACCGTCGCTAGGAATTTTGATGCGTCTACTCCTTTTGGATTTAGTAACAAGACCTCTAACAATATGGAAGAAGTGTATGATTTAAAAATCCAACTCCAAACTTACAAAGTGAATATATGTAGGCAAGCCTTATTTTCTTAAGCACTATTGCACATCAAACTCAATTCATTCTTTGTTAGAAATTCAGAGTAATAAAGGCACTTAGATATTCTGAGAATTGTGATTTCACTATCAAATCAAAGTATTGGGTGGTACTCCCTAATCTTTGATTGGATAAGACTTAGAAGAGAATAGAAAAGAGAATGAGATATATGAATTTCGTAAGTACTAGAAAAAGCTGACCAAAATTGGTTAAATATCTCATTTGTCTGAAAAACTGTCAAAACTGTCATAAAACAGTTTGGCAACAGTCAAACAACTGTCATAAATCTGGTTTTTCTATAAGGATTAATACCAAGCCAAAAAACGGGTCAAATATTCTAAATTTGGATTTTCGATCCCAGTCAGGGGGCTCTGCCCCTTGGACCCCGCTCCCAGGGGCGCTGCCCCCGGACCCCCGTTCGTTTAGGGGCTTCGCCCCTAAATGACAGTCTACTTTTAATCTTGAATAAACTTAAACAAGTGTGCACTCCACACCTTCCTTACTTGTTTAATATTTATCAAGATCACTTTTGGTCAACAAAGTAATCCCATTACACTTAAATCACATTAGTGAAACAAATCACCAACATTCTTTGTCAAGCTTCATGGTTCTTCTCTAGTTTCTTTTCCACTTAATATGGGTGTTAGGGACATGAAATTTATTAAAGAGTTCACAACAATTTGATGAATTCTAAAGCAGCCCGACAAGGAAAGTTGCTAGATAGGGGAGAGGCATTGGATCAATGATCACTTTATAAAGCAATATTATCATTGCACCTAATTTTTCAACAAGAAGATTATTTGAGGATCTGTATATATATATATATATATATATATATATATATAGATCTATATATATATATATATATATATATATATATATATATATATATATATATATATATATATATATATATATCATACTATCATACTATACTTATAAATGATGCATATTTCCTTTCACCGCATCAATTTGAAACTCCCAACTTTTCATATTTCCCTATAATATACTTTCTAACTTAAATATGTTACTAATTATAAATATTATCATAAATGGAGGACTTCTTGAATTATCAATAACTTCATTATAGTGTTAAATGTATAACCTAAATTAATATATCAAACAAACTTAAAAATATAGTGTAAAATTTAAAACCTAAAGTAAAATATCAAATAAAGTTTTAAAAAAAACTCAATGTATATTTTTTACAAGAGTTAAAAGAAAAATATTAAATATAATAAATGTAAAAGAACATAAATCTAAAAGTAAAATTAACTAAAAGATCTTCAAAAACTATTTTTTATAATAACTGAAATTTCTTTAAGATTTTTTAAAATTAATTTATAATAATAATAGTTAAAATAAAATAAAGTTATAAATTAAATTATATTACATCACAAACAATAATTGATAATTTAAATAATCATCATGATGAAATTAAAATGTCGTCAATTTTTCTTTAAAGTTAATAAATCATTACATTAGTTAATTAAAATAGATAAGAAATATAATTAATTTTATACACACATAAAACATGAGTAGATACCATTACATGATTGGATTTTAGTAAGTGTCATATTATCTATTGTTCAAATTAGTTATAATGTTACATTAACTAAATGTCTAAATGTAATAATAATTATATATTGTTACTAAAAGGTTAACTATATAATTTTATTCCGCGCAACGCCCGGATATTCGCCTAGTATCTATTATAATAGAGGCCGTAATACTTAAATCATATTTATTTTGAAACTCCAATAACTTTTCAAATTATCATATTTAATTTCTTAGTTAATTGTAATATTCATTTGAAACTCATAAAAACTTTTCAACTTATCTTATTTAATTGTTTGATTAATTGAAATGTTTTTCCTATATAAAAATATTATTTTCATGTTTGAGAATAAATGTTGTATCAAGGTCTTTCAACTATGTTATGAGGGCTAGGATTATGATTACCCTTCAACCAAAAACTAAAGAAAGGGGAAGACCATAAT